TTCACCCAAGTCCAAAGCGATGTTCAAGGAATGGCTGGTAGGTTGGCGAGCTTTGAGATCAACCATGATGGGCTGCGAGAAGAGTTTGTGGCTCTCATCACCCACACCATCTCCGAGTCCATGAACAACGCGATTGAAGTTGTGAAAGAGCATGTCCAGGCTGAGCTGTTCGGCGTGAAGGAGGAGATTGCAGACCTCAGAGTGAGGTCACTCTCGTGAAGAGAGCCATGGATAGCAGACCAGCCCCGGTGCAATCCGTCCCACGTGCTGATGTTCCACGACCGAAGAACTTCTGAGGTTCAAGGAACGCGAGGGAGTTAGCGAACTTCCTTTGGAGTCTTGAGAAGTACTTCAAGGCATCCGGCATCCAAGAGGATGAGGTAAAACTCCGTACCGCTCCACTTTACTTGTTCGAAGTTGCCATGGTGTGGTGGAGGCGACGTGAAGCAGATGTCGAAAGAGGTACGTGTGTGATGGTAACGTGGGAAATTTTCAAGAGAGAAATCAAGAAGCAGTTCCGGAGAAAATGGAATTTGAAGCGCGTTCGAAGTTGAGAAGACTCACCCAGGGGGGTGGAGTTCGAGAATATGTAAAAGAATTCTCGGAGCTGCTTCTAGAGATCCCGGACATCACGGACAAGGAGGCCATGCACGGCTTTCTTGATGGGCTGCAACCATGGGTCAAGATGGAGATGCAACGTCGAGGAGTGCAAGACCTTGCATCTGCCATGGCCACGACAGAGTCTTTTGTTGAGTACAAAAGGCAAGAGAGCAGCGATAAAGAGAAGAGTTCAAAGCCCAACAAGGGTGGAGAACAGCAGAAGCCTTTCAAGGAGGGGACTCGCACTCAATAACACCAAGGTGGTTCAAACAAAGGGGGTAAGTACGAACCAAAACCCGTATCTTGTTTCCTTTTAGATAGACCACATCGAGTGCGAGATTGCCCAAGGAAGGCGAGATTGGCGGCCATGGAAGCTCAAGATGAAGAGCCCAAGGCGGCGGAGGCCAAGATTGGCTCAATCCGCAAGCTAGGCGCGGTGAAGACCGACGTCAAGGAGAGCAAGCGCCGGAGGTGCTATGTTCTGGCGCAATTCATGCAGGGCGAGTCAAAAGCCTTGGAGGATACAGGTGCCACGGACAACTTCCTTCGCATCGAGGAGGCAAACCGGCTGGGTATTGCCTACGAGAAAGGCAAAGGGAGACTCAAGACGATAAATTCGAAGTCCATTCTGATCCATGGAGTTTATCACAACATGCCAGTGAAGCTTGGCGAGTGGGAAGGCCTCATCGACTTTTCCTTCGTCACCATGGACGATCACCCGACCATACTTCCTCGACAAGGAGGGAGTTCCCTTGAAGCCCAACTCCAACACGATGTGCTTGGAGAAGGAAGGGGAGTTCAATGCGGTCCATCTCTTGAGAGAAGATGGCCCCCATAGTGCTCTATCCGCTATGTAGGTATTGAAGGGGTGCAAGAAAAATGAACCAACCTTTCTTGTGTCCTTGAAGATGTAGGAAGAAGGAGGCTCAATGGGAATCACAACTCCCATCATCGAAGGCGTCCTCGAAGAGTTCGATGACGTGATGCCATCGGAGTTGCCCAAGAAGCTACCACCAAGAAGAGAGGTGGATCACAAGATCGAGTTGGAGCCAGGAGCGAAGCCACTTTCGCGGGCACCATACCGCATGGCGCCACCGGAGTTAGAAGAGTTGTGGAGGCAGCTCAAGGACTTGGTGGACGCAGGCTATATGCGGCCATCGACATCACCTTTTGGAGCACCGGTGTTGTTCCAAAAGAAGAAGGAAGGCTCGTTGCGTATGTGCATTGACTATAGAGCCATCAACAAGTTGACGATGAAGAACAAGTGGCCGATCCCCAACATTGCCGACTTGTTCGACCAGCTTGGAGATGCGATGTGGTTCACCAAGTTAGATCTTCGCTCGGGCTACTATCAAGTGTGGATAGCAGAGGGCAACGAGCCAAATACGGCTTGTGTGACGAGGTATGGCTCTTACGAGTTTCTTTTGATGCCATTCGGTCTCACCAACGCACCAGCCACGTTTTTCACTTTGATGAATCAAGTGTTCGAGCCATTCTTGGACCGGTTTGTCGTGGTCTACTTGGATGACATCGTGGTGTATAGCAAAACACTCGATGAGCATCCCGAGCATCTACGCCAAGTCTTTCAAGTCCTTCGCGACAACGAGTTGTATGTCAAGAGGGAGAAGTGCACATTTGCCGCCACGGAGGTTCCATTCTTGGGGCACATCATTGGTTGAGTCAAGTTGAAGATGGATGGGGCGAAGGTGCAGGCAATCCAAGAATGGGAGCCGCCGACGAAGGTGCCAGAGTTGCGGTCATTCCTCGCCCTTGCCAACTACTATCGGAGGTTTATCAAGGGCTACTCCAACATTGCCGCACCTTTGATGGATCTCTTGAAGAAGAACAAGGAGTGGGATTGGTCGGAAAGGTGCCAAGAAGCATTCGAGGCCTTGAAGGCAGCGGTGATGAAGGAGCTCGTGCTCCCCAACCCGACATTGGCCTACGAAGTGCAGACCGATGCATCCGACTTCACGATTGGAGATGTGTTGGTGCAAGATGGGCATCCCATTGCCTTCGAGATTCGGAAGCTCAGCGAGACGGAGAGGCGATACACCGTCCAAGAGAAGGAGATGACGGTCGTGGTGCATTGCTTGCGCAAATGGAGGCACTACTTGTTGGGGTCAAACTTCGTAGTGAAGACGGACAATGTGGCGACGAGCTACTTCCTCACGCAGAAGAAGCTCACCCCCAAGCAAGCGAGGCGGCAAGACTTTTTGGCCTAGTTCGATTTCGTCATGGAGTACAATCCAGACAAGGCGAATTCCGTCGCAGATGCTCTTAGCCGCAAGCATCAGCCAGCCCATGTTTCCTTTGAAGGAGCAGATCGTCGAAGGCCTTAGCCATGACACCTTCGCCAAAACCGTAGCGGAGTACATCAAGCAAGGTAAGACTCGACGATTTTGTATGAAGGATGGGCTCATCATGACCAAGGGAGAGCGTGTGTTCGTCCCAAGGTGTGCCAACTTGAGGAAGGAGATCATGAAAGAGTGCCATGATTCCAAGTGGGCGGGCCATCCCGGCATCGAGAGAACGCAAGCGCTCATCGAAGAAGCATACTTCTGGCCGCGTATGAGAGACGACGTGGAGATGTATGTGAAGACTTGTCTTGTGTGCCAGCAAAACAAGATGGAGCAGAGAAGCCCGACAGGTTTGCTAGAGCCCTTGCCCACGCCTCAACGACCATGAGAGAGTGTAAGCATGGACTTCATCATCGGACTTCCCAAAGTCGATGGATGCAGTCTCATCATGGTTGTGGTGGACAGATTCTCGAAGTATGGAGTGTTCATTCATGGGCCAAAAGACTTGATGGAAGAGGATGCGGCACGTCTATTCTTCAAGAACGTGCTCAAGTATTGGGGCATTCCTAGCAACATCGTGAGCGACAGAGATGGGGCTTCACGGGCCGATTTTGGCGAGAGTTGTTCAAGATCATGGGCTCAGACTTGAACTTCTCGACGGTGTTTCATCCTCAAAGCGACGGACAGACGGAGCGGGTGAATGCCTTGTTGGAGGTGTACTTGCGGCACTACGTGAGTGCAAACCAACGAGATTGGGTGAAGTTGATGGATACGGCACAATTCTCCTACAACTTGCACCGCAGCGAGTCGACCAACACGAGTCCATTTGAGTTGGCGACGGGGCAACAACTTTTGACACCTACGACGGTGGCAACGGGGTATAGAGGCAACAGTCTGGCAGCCTACAAGTTCGCTAAAGGCTAGCACGAGAAGATGGAGATGACCAAGTCTTACTTAGCCCGCGCAAGTAAGAAGATGAAGAAATGGGCGGACAAGAAAATGCGGCATTTGGAGTTTGAAGAGGGAGACATGGTGATGGTAAAGTTCTACCCTCATCGCTTCAAGCATCTCAAGAACGTGCACAAGGGACTGCTTCGCCGCTATGAAGGGTCATTCCCCATTGTGAAGAGGATTGGCAAGGTGGCGTACAAGGTGGAGGACACTTAGAGATCCATCCGGTCTTTCATGTGAGCCAACTCAAGGCTTCCACGAAGACAAGGAGGACGAGCAGCGAAGAGAGTCGCAGCGCGCACCAACACTCATCACCAAGACACACGACCATGAAGTCGAAGAGATCATGGTGTGTCGTGGCATTCCTCGTCGTGGCGTACATCCAAGCTTCGTGGAGTACTTGGTCAAGTGGCCCAACCTTCCGGAGAGTGAAGCAACTTGGGAGAAAGAGCTCACGCTTTGGAAGAACAAGGACTTGATCGAGGTTTTCCATCAAGAGGACGCGACGAGGGCGTCGCGAGCATAGGTGGGGGAGGATGTCATATGTGGCAGATGACATGGCGCCAACAAGGTGATAACATGGCGGCTGCACATGTGGCGTGTATGGAAGACTAGTAGCATAGAGATGCTCCTAGGATTCTCCACCTTAATAGAGAGCTTAATGGTGCACTTATGAGTCACATAATGGGTGACATTTATAGAGTGCATAATGGGGGGACTTAATGGGTGTATTGATGTAGAGGGACATTATGAGGGGCATTGATGCCTTGTATGAGGAGAGGCCTATATAAGGAGTCATCTCCCTCACTTTTAACTCATTCCATCATTTTTTAGAATAATACACACTAGAGAGTTCTCTCATTTCCTTTGTCTTTGCTTCCTTGTTCTTTGCTTGCTTGTGAGTTTGAGAGAAGGTTGCCTAGCGGTCTAACGGAATTGAGAGCTAGCGCCGCACGATCGAGAGTAAGGTCATGACAGAACCCAACCAAACTACTCTCCAGCAAACCGGACAATGAATGGAAAACTGCCACCGCATGGCTAACTTTTCTAAACTCAAACCCGTTCCATAAGATTTAAATAATCGTGTATCACTTTATTCTTTCGAGTATTATTTAACAAAATAATTTGATGTTATCATGATATTAAACACTTACTAATATATAAAATAAGATACATAATTTGATGTTTCTAACTTAATATGGAGTAGTACACAAGGACGACATCAAAACACTAAAACATATAAATTATAAATTTTATTAAAAAAGGAAAACCAGAAGAACCATGCTCAAACTAAGGAGAAAATATAACTTTCACTTGCAGAGTGCAGCCAAAACTCGACGAGGTGGAGTGAAAAGGTTTCGAGCATGTAGCACTGCCAAATTATCTACCAACAAGACATCACCATTTTGCCAGGGGATAATAGCACTTTCCTCTACCATGATTTGCAAGCAATCATAAACAATGTCGCCAGGTAAAAGGTCACCGTTCCCAAACATAACGGACTTTGTCGGGTCAAATTTTTCGCTCCCATTAATTGTGTAAGACGTCACCATCGAATTAAACCAAATCTTGCGTTCTCTCAACTTGTCATGTTTAGTTGCTGGGGCTGGACCAACCGTTAATCGTGCTGAACCATCCTCAATCCACTCCAGCTTCATTCCCAGTTTTGCAGCCCTGTAATTGCGGTCATATAAGAAATGGTATCAATTGAGGTCAAGAACAAAAACGTCAAATGAGAACGATTCAAACACAGTTATCAGTGACAAGTCATCATCTAGCTCAATAACATAATCCCATTTCCTAAAATGTTTGTAAATCATTTCACAATTAAAAAAGAAAAAAGCAAAACGGAGAAAACTAGCAATCCAGTTAAAGTGGAGAACTGGAGATTGACTTTGTGAAGAGGTCAATTTATTTCCCTAACCCTGTTAATTTACCATGACCGTTCAGATCACAAATAACGTAACGGACGGACATGATTTACAAATTAGATGGATGACATATTAAAATAGGAACGGGGGTAGAGGATAACAAGAGAGACAAAGCAGACCTTTGTTCGGCGACTTCTTTGTCATTGGTGGAAAACGTAGACTTCCAGCCTCGACCAATGGCGGAAGAAGTGTCGTCTTCTTCTCCGATCACTCTGCTGTACAGCAACCCTTCCTCTTCCAGCCGCGCTACGAATTCTGGGTGCTTCTCCTTCATCCTCTCGTACACCACGTGGCTCAACACAATTGGCGTCTCGCCGCCGCTTGCCGGCTCCACTTCACAGAAGAAGAACAGCTTCGCAGGGAACTCCGGCGACTGAAAATTAATTAAATTCACACCACAAAATAAGAATCAAGGTCAATACTCTGGATCACTTCAACTGAATTTAATTAATAATCTAATAATCAAATGGTTTTTTTAGCTGACATAAGCCATCTCGTGGTGGTAGGGGATCCTCTGATCGGGTGGGGACTCATTGGCTGTGTAGACCCGGCCGACGACGTGAGTCCGGCTGGCCGCTCCGCCAGTATAAGGCTGATCGGCGAACCCAAACGACTCCACCATGCTGTCGAAATCCGAAGCGGTGGAGAGAGGGAATCCCCTGAACAAGACCGCCCCTGTTCTGTGCAGCAGAGACTCCAGATACGGCTTCTGGGATTCGACGGCGGTGATGCAATCGGCCAGAGACAGCGGCGAGGACGCTTCCGGGTTTGGCGCGAGGACGGCCGGGAACGGCGGCAAATTTGGGGATCGCTTTTGGTTTGGGATCTCGATTTCCTGGAAAAAGTTTGCCATTTTTCCTCCGCTCTCTGTTTTTTTTTTTTTTTTTTTTTTGTTGTGTGAGTTCGGGTGTGATCGTGTTCATTTTGCCTTTGGCCATCATATATGTAGCTGTTTGTGTGAACGCAGAAGTTACTGGGAAGTAGTTTGTATGGATTTTTCTTTCGTACACTTTCCTTCAAAACAAAAATTATGAGTTTTTTAAGTTTGCACAAATTGAAAGCGTTATAAGAATTTAAAACTAGTATAACCTCTTGATAGAAAGCTATGATACCATGTTAACGAATAAGTCACTTAACCTCGCTTTGTTTCTCTTATTCAATTCGGTATAAGGCCGAATAGAAGTCCACATGTCCACGCGATAGAAAGTAAAATATAAGTTCCACTATTTGCAGAGTGCAGCCAAAACCCGACGAGGTGGAGTGAACAACTTCCGGGCATGAAGAACTGCAGAGTTATCTATCAACAGGATATCCCCTTTCTGCCAAGGAATAGCAACGCTTTCCTCTTCCATGATCCGCAAACAACCATAGACCACATCTCCCGGCAGAGGGTCGCCATTTCCGAACGCGATGGTCTTGGTTGGGTCGTTTCGCTCGTCGCCAAAAGCTGTGTAACTCGGCACCATCCCGTTAAACCAAACCTTCCGATCCCTCGACTTGTCGTATTTGACTGCCGGCATTGGGCCGACTGTTGTTCTCGCCAACGATCCGTCATCAATCCACTCCAGCTTCATCCCCAGTTTTGCAGCCCTGAAAATGACAAATTTGGTGAGAGTCGTCGTCATCATGTCTGAAAATTCAAGTCTTTTAGGCAGGATAGATAGAGGTGCTGAGTGCTAACCGACCTTTCATGAGCGACATGCTTGTCATTGGTAGAGAATATTGATTTCCATCCACGACCGATTGCTGAAGAAGGGTCATCTTCTTCGGCCAATATTCTATTGGAAAGAAGACCTTCTTCTTCCAGCTTGTCCACGAATTCAGGGTACTTCTCTTTCATCCTCTCGTACACCATGTGGCTCAGTACGATTGGCGTCTCCCCGCCACTCCTTGGCTCCACTTCGCAAAAGAACATCAGCTTAGTTGGAAATTCCGGGACCTGAAGTGAAACGAATTTGGTTATTATGCAGCATACATGTGGTTGCAAAAGCAAAATCGAATGGAGTAAGCAACTAATTCAAAGAACAAATTTGGACGAACAACAATTGGAGTTGGAGGTCACTCAATCAATTTCCAATAATTGGATGCTAGCAATAATATATCGGCCTTGTTTCAGCCAGTAACAGTTTCCACAAGCATTCTGTAGCATAATATTCAAAATATTCAAGTCCTAACGCAATTACGCAACTCATTATAAATTAATATTTAGAGGACTAACATGGGCCATCTCGTGGTGGAAGGGGATCTTCTGATCCGGCGGCGACTCATTCGCGGTGAAGACACGGCCGACGACTCTAGTCCGGGAGGCTCCGCCGCCGACGTAAGGGTAATCGGGGAATCCGAACGCTTCCACCACTTGGTTGAACTGGGAAGCAGTGGAGAGAGGGAATCCCCTGAAGAGGATCGCCCCTGTTTCGTGAAGCAGAGACTCCAGGCGCGGCTTCTGAGATTCGATGGCTGAAATGAAGTCACTGAGAGAAGGCAGCAACGTTGAAGCTGGCGCTAGGACGGAAGGGAAAGGCGGGGAATTGGGGAACCGTTTCTGATTTGGGATTTGGATTTCCTGGAAAAGGTTCGCCTTCGCCATTTTTGTTTTTGGTTGTTGTTTAGCTGTGGTCTCTCTGTTTTCTTGCTTCATCTGCTTTTATTAAGATGCATCAACTGGTCTACTCTTCCCTAGTGGGTATCTCTGACTTTGAATGCTCTGTTTTTTGTCTTAAAGAATGCAAATTCCCACGTGTGAAAATTTGCGTTTGATTTGAATATCTTGCCTACTAGTGTAGGTTTTCTCTTCGGTTGACTTTGTTGGTGGACTGATAGCTAGTGTCCTAGTGACGGGCAGTGGACGGGTTTGGCTTAACCCATATCATTTTTATTTTTGAATATCCATATTCATACATGTCATTTAACCATGAGCAGAAACTTTTGTAATCTCATCTTCATACTCTTGATTTACGAGTACTCGTCGACAAATCTTGTCCCGTATATCTAACTAGCTTTTTAGCCCGCGCTTCGCAGCGGTAACAAACTGTTGGGCATATGACTCGGGCCTAGTCGCGCCGAAGGAACACGCCGCGCGAAGATCCTGAGCGCGACACCTCAGCGTGGTCCACCACGTCCCGGCGCGAGAAGCTTAGACGCGGAGCGGGTCGCACGCATGTTAGAAGACCATAGCGTAGACCAGACCAAAGGGATGTAGAAAGCGTAGTTTCCCTCCCTGAGTGGTAGTCACATCAGGGCCCTAGGCATGGCCCTAGATAGGTCTCTGACACGTCCTAGGTAGAAGCATGGCCTAAATCCGTAGTATGTCAGTAGTCTGTCAGTAGTCACATCATTGTATCCTCACATGAGTCAACCACTCACCCACCACCATGAAGCCTATAAATATGGCATTTACTACGGTGGGTGAGAGGGATCGCATTTTGGACATTCTATCTCTAAAACATCAACTTCTCTCTCTAAAGCACCAATTCTCTCAACCTTCCAGACCTTCGTTCTACGTCCGATAGTTGATTTTCCATTGCTTGCTCTCCTTGACCTACTTTCTTTCCCGAACCTCACTCCTACACTCAGTTAGGTTCAAACAATTGGCGCCCACCGTGGGGCCAAGAAGAAACGCAAAAGAAAATCAACCAATGGCAGAACGCAACCACGACTCACCTGACGAAGCAACGCCCATCAAGGCGATGACCGACCCGAGGGCGTTCGCAGAAGCCAGCAACCTCAATGCGGTGCTCATCGAGGAAGAGGAGCCCGAGCTGACAGCCAAAGAAATGAGGGAGCTGATAGCGAAGCAAAACAGTGTCATAGCTGACATGCAAAAACAAATGAGCCAAGTCATCGCGCTCATGATGAGCAAGGAGGCCGCGACGACAGTGGACGCGACGGCAGTCGTGCCACAACAAGCCCTGGGAGAAGCGTCGGGGACCGCCCAACCACCACAACACGCGCAAACGGAACTCCCCGCGTGCGAAACGCGAGGAGCCGAGCCACCGGGGCGGGCGGGCCTCAGTTTCTTGGAGCAACACTTGTCTCCGCAGTACCGACCCAACCCACCTAGAAGGGTTCTCCACCAGCCGTTGAGCGCGGAAATTATGGCCGAGCATCTAAGCGGAGCGCCACCCACCCTCCCACATACAACGGCACGACCGACCCCGAAGACCATGTGAGCACCTTCTGCCTACGGATGCAACTCCAAACCAACTCCAACGCGGCACTGTGCCGAACCTTCCCATCAACATTCTCTGGGATATGCCTCGACTGGTACAACAGACTCCCGAACGGAATCATCCGCTCATTCGAAGAGTTCATACTCCTGTTCACAACAAAGTTCGCGTCCCAGAAGAGACGTCCCCTGCATCTCAAGGCGCTAATAGATATCAGGCATAAGGAGGGAGAGAGCCTGAGGGCTTTCTATGCTAGATGGTCCAGGGTGGCAATGGCCGTCCGCGACCTTACCCCCGAAACCGCCGCCCATCACCTTATGGAGGCCACTAGCAACATGGAGCTCAAGCGGGCGCTAGCAAAAAGGCCCGTAACCCTGTCCACGGAATTGGAGATGAAAATCGAGAAGGCAATCACGTTGGAAGAGACTCTCGGGGCGGGATCTGTCAGGCGCTTCGAACCAGCGAAGTTTCCACGCGAAGAACAGGGGCGTCGGCAACCTCCGGCCCCGATCCCACGAGACCAATTGGTGCAGCTGCACAGTGGCCCAAAAAGACACCCCCCTCCCCCGCAAGAGCAAAATCAGCGCAGGCGATCGCCAGACAGACGCGCGCCCAACACCTACACGCCACTTAACGACTCCGTGAGAAACGTTTTCCACGTTCTCCGCGAGAAGGGCTACAAGCTCAATTGGCCTTCTCCGTTGAAGTCCCTACCTCACATGCGCGATCCAAAAAAGCATTGCGACTTCCACAGAGCAACAGGCCACTGGACAGAGGACTGCCGAGAGCTACGGTACGAAATCGAGGGCCTCATACGGCGAGGATTGTTAACCGAGTTCACTCATGTCAAGGAAGAACGAGTTGAGGGCCCCCAGAACCCGCCGCCTCCTCCACAGGCCGACTACAACGACGCAGCTGGCGCGTACGTGGTACGCAAAGAAATAGGGGTGGTGACGGTAGAAGGAGATCGCCCCAAGAAGAAAACCAAGCGAGAGCGCGCAACGGAATGCGCGGCTGTAGACGCACGGGCGAAGTTCAACTTGAGCTTCGACGATGCGGAGTTCCCAAGAGGGGTCCCATCAGAAGATCCACTCATTGTCACCGCGCTGGTGGCCGGATGCAAAATCCACCGTCTGCTGATAGACGGAGGTAGCGCAGCTGACATCCTCTTCCAAAGCACCATCAACAAAATGGACATCGACCAGCGCTTAATCAAGCGCGCGCAAGGCAATCTGGTCGGGTTCTCTGGAACGAAAGTCCCGGTAATTGGAGTGGTCACCCTCCCAGTAGTAATCGGAGACCAAGAGCCGCGCTTCTCCAAGCAAGTGGAATTCACAATTGTCGATTGCAAATCGGCGCACAATGGCATCCTTGGCCGACCGTTCCTTGCGAAATTCATGGCCCTCCCATCAAAGTGCCACCAGAAGCTCAAATTTCCCACCCAAACAGGGGTCGGAGAGGCGCGAGGAACAACATGGGAAGAGCGCGATAAGGTGCGCCAGACCAACATCGTCGACACAAGAGCGGAAGAGCCCCGCCCGGAGTCCATGGATTCCGACTTCAAAGTCGCGCTGGACCCCGCCGAGCCGACTAAGAAGATACGCATCTCCACTCACGTCAGCAGTGACGCGATCGAACCACTCATGGCATTGCTGAAGGAGTACAAGGAGCTGTTCGCTTGGTGCACAGAAGACATGCCAGGAGTGCCCAGAGAAATAGCTCAACATTGCCTTGCAGTCCCAATCCACGCAGAACCAAGGCAACAAGGGCGAAGGACATTCACTGGTGACAAACTGAAGGCCATAGAAGAAGAGGTAGCGCGCCTACTAGCAGCAGGATTGATTCGCCCAGTGAAATATCCAAAGTGGCTGGCAAACGTGGTCTTGGTTAAAAAATCATCGGGGGCCTGGCGGATGTGCGTCGACTACACCACGATCAATAAAGTATGCCCGGGAGACCCTTATCCCCTACCGCGCATCGACCAACTGATCGACGCGACCGCCGACCACGAGACATTATCCTTCCTCGACATGTTCTCGGGATACCACCAAATCCCATGTCAATCGAAGAAGAAGAAAAAACAGCGTTCATGACGCCATTCGGAAACTATTGCTTCGTCGGGATGCCGTTCGGATTGAAGAATGCAGGCGCGACGTACCAAATAATTATTGATGCGGTGTTCTCCCGACAGATTGGGCGGAACATCGAGGCATATGTGGATGACCTCATCGTCAAAACAAAGGCGAGCAACTCACACATGGAAGATCTGCGTGAGACATTCGAAGCCCTCCGCCGGCACAACCTTCTCCTCAACCCACTCAAGTGCGTTTTCGGAGCGGAAGCAGGGAAATTCCTTGGGTTCATGATAACGAAGCGCGGTATAGAGGTTGACCCAAAACAAATCTCCGCAGTCCAACAACTTCGAGCGCCAAGGAACGCATTGGAAATTCAATCCCTGAACGGCAAGATAGTGGCACTAGGAAGGTTCATTCCAAGGTCTGCCGACAAATGTGCTCCCTTCTTCAAGACACTCAAGAATGGGGCGCGTTTCACATGTTCCACGGAATGCGAAGCAGCATTCCAAGAACTAAAGGCGTATCTTGTATCCCCCCCTGTACTGACTGCCCCCAAGCTTAATGAAAAACTTTTCTTGTATCTCGTTGTGTCAACAAGGGCTGTAAGCGCAGTGCTGATATCTAGAAGGGATGGCAAGACCGAGTAACCGGTGTATTACACCTCGCGCACCCTCGTCAGCACGGAAACAAGATACTCCCCGATCGAGAAGGCTGCCTTGGCGCTAGTAAGCGCGTCACAAAAATTGCGCCTGTACTTCCAAGCGCACCAAATCACCGTCCTGACAAACCTTCCACTAAAAAAGATCCTGACCTCGATGGAAGTCTCGGGGCGCATGGTCAAATGGGCGGTCGAGCTTTCGGAATAAGATATTCAATACGCACCAAGACCAGCCATAAAGGCCCAAATCTTAGCGGATTTCATCGCCGAAGGGGTAACCCTCGAAACAACGCCGGAGGGTGTTTGGGAAGTCTACGTCGATGGAGCGGCGAGCAAGCATGGCGCTGGAGCAGGGGTTGTGGTGCGCACACCTGCTGGCGTGGTTCACGAAATCGCAATTAGGTTCAGGGCGTTGAAGACAAATAACGCTGCTGAATATGAGGCCATCTTGGCGGGGATGACGGCCGCCCACGACTTGGGCGCCAGAACGATACGGGTACTCTCCGACTCCTCCCTAGCAGTCAATCAGCTGAACGGGGCGTTCGACGCAAAGGAAGACACGCTGGCGCATTACATGGAGCGCGTTAAGATGAGGGCTACCGCCTTCGAAGCGGTAACGTATGCGCAGATACCAAGGGAGGAGAATGCGCACGCCGACGCATTATCCAAATTGGCAACGGCTACTGACTTCGAATCCACGCGCCTCGTGTCTGTCCAGAAAGAAGAGGAAGAAACTCGCCCGGAGGTAGCAATCAATACGACCCAGCTCACGTCAA